TCATTCCCATGGTCGCTGGACGATCGCAGCGCCAGAGTGCCCTCTAGTTAATTTTCGGAAGCTCTATGTTTACGACCACCGTTAGATCATGTCGTACGACGTGGTTGCCTCGTATAGCAACCACGTGAACCGTATTTTCCCGCGTATTATAAGGCGTACAGCCGTCGCCCGACGTAGGCGCGTCTGTACTGTCGCTACTACGCGATATAAACGCCATGATCGCGGTGAGAATAAGGGCAGGTGAGGGTTTTATCTTCTGGCGGTAAGCACATGGAACGCGTTCTGACCGATTGTGGCGGCGCTGTAACAAAGCTGCAGCCTAAAATGAACGCGCCGGCACGACGCGAGCGTTGAAAAGGTGACGATGAAGCGATGCCGAGATTGAAGCAGTAGGTAATAAAAAATAAAAGAGACAGAGAAAGATACAAGCATACATGCGTCGGCGGGTCGACATGAATACTTTGCCAAGCTTTACGACGCCATATTTTACGTGTGTGATGTCCTAGCTTTTTCAGCAAAACTCGGAAGGTATAGTTGTAACTTCTCTTCAGTATATAAAACAGTGAAAAAATCGATCAAATTCGAAAAATTACGCTCAAGCGCGCACCAGCTCGGCAATCTCGCCTTTTGCCAAATCGGTTCTCATGTATAAAAAAAAAAAAAAAAAACAAGGCATCGGGTACGACTGTAAAGTGACCGGGTAAAAATAAGTACCAGGAATGGACCCTTCGTTCAAATTTCAGTTCTATATTAACGAACACTAGCTCACACATTTAGGTAATAAGCTCATCAGTACATTGGTAATCGTTTGCGAATTCAGGGGGAACTTATCAGCCAGACCAATCAAGAATGTGTCGTGTTCGTAGCACATTGTTGACATTACTCAACAGTCCCCAAATGTACAGGCCTAGTTTCTAGGCCGAGAGTAGGTTTAACCACTGTGACTTTTGCTTCGTCCCTCAGTCGTCACCGTCATCCATATTGTTTCTCCCTTCTCTCTTATTCTTCATATTGGCGTGAATGCTTGAATAGAGGTGCTAACTAAACCACAGCTCTCTGCCATACGTCGTATTTAACTTCTCACTCTCTCTGTGCCATTCCGTAGTCCAACAAACCTTCCACGCGGCTCGGCGTAAACTGGTCGGAAAAACACCCCGAGTTCGATTCACACGACAGACGCAATGTTAATAGGCCTAGCTACATTGGCCTAGCTACAATAGGCCTAGTTACAGTGTCCGAGAGAGGGCGTGTCAACGTACGGCGTGGAACTAAGCCCCATTTAGCGCACGCCGTGTTGTCACGACCTGCACGGCGCAAGTGAGCGTATACACAATGATTACAATAGTATGCACATAGAATACATTATAGCATAGTATAATATAGTATAGATACGTAATAACGCTGGTACCCGGCGTCGTACACAATTACAGGACGGCAACAGAACACCACAACCATTAGCTACCTGTTCACGTATTTCACACCGAGCGTTTACACTTTCGTGGCTGTCTGCGGAGACAAACTTGTAGCCCTATAGCTGCCATCAGCTCAACTATAGTTTTAAATAGAAACGTCGTTTCCGTTGACGTCTATACCATGCTGACAACTGGCGTGCCGCACGCCACGTCAGGATAGTGTCACATTCCGCCATGTTGTTTTTTCGCTTATAGCCAATCAGAGAGGCCGCAGCCAAAGCTCGGCCAATCGCAGTGCCCCGGTCAGGACAAGATGTCGGAAATGGTGGGTACACAACAGTGAGCCTTGCAGGTATACGACCGTCTGGCACAGACGAGCCTCGGAATACGCTCTAGATAGTAATCATACGCGAGACTATAATATAAATGTATAAGCGCGCAGTTGTGTACACACGTATGGGAATATGCAACAAGCGGATATATAGTACGTCGTGTGCTCGATGTTTTCTCTCGACCAGCCTCATCCCGTGCTGCCGGTGAGCTCTTGGAGTGTTACATGTCTCCCCTGTCTAGCCAGAGTTACATCCATTCTCGACCGTTTTCGTCGTCGCCTTTGTGATTTATGACCCTACATCGGACACATGGCCTCCCGAAAAAAAACCACCGAATGCCTGCCCCGCGGTGTGTTCGGCAGTTTTTTTTCCCGGCTCTTACTGCGTCGTCATTACGGGTCGTAAGCGGTGTGACGAAGGACGATGGATACATTCCAACGCGTATACCTTATCCGACTCGACAGATATACGACTTGCCCCAATCAATCCGAGTGCGCAGTTCACAGCACTTATTCACTCCCCGGCGCGATGTGTCACGGAAATGACGTCACGAGTCCTTGTTGACGAGAGCCGACTCGACAGATATACAACTTGCTCCAACCAATCCGAGTGCGCAGTTCACAGCACTTATTCCTTCCCCGGCGCGATGTGTCACGGAAGTGACGTCACGAGTCCTCGTTGACGAGGGTTCGCGCTCACGCATGCGTTGAAAATTCACGATGAGGTGGGATACGGTGTGCCGTAACACCTGGTCCCGGAAGCAGAAATACGTAGTGGTTCGCCAGTTGTATGCGCACATGTGAGGGTCTCGTCGATTTGAGCATTCTTTTTCAGTTTCACTTAATTCATTACCGGCGGCAGTGTTGTAAGCACTAGGTTGTCGTTCTTTTCTGTAAGCGCAGCACGCTACACAAAATACGGAAAACAAAGACACTAGACTGGACCAAAATCTGGGTTTTGCCCTATAGTAGGAAACACGGCACGCTGATGACACGGCTTATTCGCTGTAGTTATTGATTTAGTAAAGTGATTTCATAACGGAATTGAAGGATGAAACGGCAAACAGGCAAAAAGTTCCAAGTCACAGCCCAGAGTGTTTAAAAACAATATAAGAAAAACACTTAAAACCCACCAGACACCAGACATTGCGAATAGGAGTGCTAATATGAACGAAAACAATCGGCAAGCATGCACTGCTGCCGTTTGATATCAAAATAAAAAGAAAATAAAACAAGATTACAAAACACATTTGATAAGACGAACAGTTGCGCAATGTAATACACTTGTGTTAATAAAACAAAGCGATTCTAAGGAACACACAACAGTACTATCAAGATTTTGTTAGTTTTCTAACCTAATATACGAGCATACAAACGCGTAAAACTTAAACAGCAGTTAATGCAACACGTGCAAAACATCAAACTCGCACTTTTCAAGACAAAGACTTTTCTCCGGACGTCGCGAACAGCGTTGTATAGAAGCCAAGATGCCTGCATGCTTTTTTTTTTCAACATGTTTTTGTCATCGAACAATGTGACTTTTGATCCGTACTCACCAGGTAGTGACTTGCGTTATCTGCTTTTAACGGTTAGAAATACATATATCTATCACTATCTGGACAGTCAGTGAACCGAAATACGTTGATTCTACGCGCACGCAGGCGCTGCACACTTGTCTTCGACGACGCTGTCCCCGATTTTTAAACGCAACGTGATTGGGGATTTCTGGTGAACCCAGTGCTCTATAAAATAGTTGGCGCTTTTGTTTGACAGCGTCACACTACGTACACACAAAATCGGGCCGAAGTATCCGGGCCAAACCCGCTTGGGGCAGGAGCGCACGTCGTCAGCTTATCTTTCCCTCGTTTCGTTTCATTAACAGGCAGCGAAAACTCGAGAATTAATTTTCATTTCGAAACCGGAGCATGTCCCAACTACATTTCTTCCTACTAATTATTACCATGATCAGCTCCGCTTGTGACGACTGTGCATGTTGCCAGCTTACCTTCCTAAAACTGTGAGTGGTCACCTAAAGCACCCAAATTTTTTTTGATAGCGAAGAATTAAAACAAGTCTATATTAATTTTAAATTGCACTTCCCTCTCTAACAATCACTTATACTTAATTCGAGGAGAAGTTAGCCAATGGCAGCACGCCAATTCATTGTTAAGAGTTAGCTAAAGCTGCAGAAACCCTTTTTTTGTTTCACTTTGAAACCGGTATTCATCGGCCTTACATTTTTTTGTTCTCTTTACTCAAATCACCATTTACGCTTCGCTAGAAGTACTGACATAAGCCGCACTGTTGCAGGCAGTCGTGCATGTCCACTGTTCTGACTTTCCCACGCGTGACTCACAAACACCGAACAGTTCTGAAAAAAATAATAAACAACCTTCATCATTTTTTCCCCTATCCTCGCGGAGGATCTACGGAACGTACAGCACGCTGATTCAGGCTTACTTATCGATATCATCGTTTCGGAAAGTAAACTCGTTTCCTTTTTCTTCCTCGTGCGATGTCATACTATTCTTTTCCGACGTACATCTCTAAAACACGAGAGCTACTGCTAAACGGGACGACCAATATAATTCATCTCACTGTTTCGCACTGAGAATACGACACACATATTCACACAACTCCAGCGACGATTTTACGACACGTTGGCAAATAATACCTAACTCGCAAAGTTCACTTAGTTCGCTGCCTCACTATGTAAAAAAACATGGTTGAAATGTCTCATTCACTCTTCTCGCGGGGTCACATATGTCTGACGAAAGCTTTCTAGGCTTACAGATAATTTTTCGAGTGACTAGTTAGCACACCAACTGCATTTTTCGAAGTTAGAGAAGCACGTTTTCCGGTATCCCAGCAGTCAGAATAACGAGCAGTTAACCAACAGTGACCCAATGCTAAACGAAAATTGGTCCTTTGTCGAACCAACATTGGAGTATCATTGGGCCAACATTGGATTATGATCGGTCCGGCTTACGGTGTTTTTAATTAGTCAATAAATGTAATAAAAACGACAACACAGGTTTTTAGCTCAGCAAGCAACGCTGACGTTGTATATAACCGATTGGCGTTTAGTTTATATACGTATCACTTTTCTACGCAAAGCCTCGAAAGCTTAGATATATAAAAATGGCACGAACACACATTGTTGAATCATTCTCCACTCAATGACGTTAGGCTTGATGAATTGACATTCGACATTTTCTCCACTAAGTAAAAAAAAAAGCACACAGGGAAACAGCAGAAGTGAAGCTTTCAGCTTGTCATTGAAATGAAGAGAGCAAACATCAAAGTTTTCGCCAACAGATCAGCGTATTCAGTGGCGAACGTACTGCGATGGAAATCGCGCCTTAATCTAGCCGACAAGACATAATGGGCGCGAGGGTTATCATACCGTGACGTGAATGCTCCTGCGATTGCACTGCTTGAAAATGCATCTGAGCAACAAGAACGCATAGAGGAAACGTTGTGTTGAATACCATTGAGAAACCCACACAAGACATGCCTGTACAGCGCAGAAGCGAGCTGACAAAGCAAATAATTTTACAGATATCTTTGTAGTTTAGATAGCCCGAACGTTGGGGTAACACTACTTCAGCTTACAGCGCCACTTCATTTGGTCCAATAAAGGCGAGAAAAAAAGACGAAACAGTTTTTAATTAGGCAAGCAACTTGTTCAATCTTCCATCCGGGTTTGCCGATTAATCTGTTAACTGATGATGGTCGGTACGGTCCGAAGCAAATCTGACATGCCTTCTACACGAGGACATCGAAACCTTACGCACAGCCAGGTCGTGGCTAGTTTGTCTGTTAGCGGTACGCCAAACACCGAATGAGACACGATACATTGGTGCCGTTTACCAGCGAAGAATATCGACTGAAGTTACACATCTAGTGGCAGTACTCGCAAGCAATCTCGCCTTTTTAGCGAAACGTGCGATACAGCGACGTATAGGTTAATTAAAATACGGATCCCCGACAAAACTTGCGTTGCCTTATTTTGACCACATTGAAGAAATTGTTGTCAATAAAGAGGGTATAAAGTTTCTGGTGAAAAAAAATTTTGTGAACTACAAAGAAGACAGTGTTCTGTGGTCACGTTGACCTCGTAAAGGGCGCGTTGTAGCGAACTCTTTTTAATACTGTACCAGAGCCCGTGAACCACGAACCGACCGATTCCTCGTAGGCTATCATGAATCAAGAGAAACGAAATCGCAGTGGGCATTTGGCTTTCGTATGGGCGAATGCAAGTCACAGTTACAACGGAACTCAGCACGAAACGCGGGATACACAGGGAGGGCATACGATGCGGTGTACTGACGTTTTTCCCAGGGAGACATTTACTTGATGGCTGCCATTTGATGTAACACGCGTAAGACACAAAACAGACACGTTTGGGTGGTCACGTGCAACGAGATGACGTTACGGAGGCCTCCACACGTCATGGTCCGGCGCGTGGAATAAGCAGGACAGCGGAAGGCGTAGCTAGACGACGGAGTGGAACCCCGACGCCCTAGCGGAACTCTTGCTTCCGCATGCGGTCTTAGTCGCCACTTCCTCTGACGTCACACAAGCACTGACACTGATACACACGCACGCACGCACACACACACACGCTGCAGTACACGATTGCGCAATCGCATAGCTTAGTGGGAAAATAAAAGTGCGTGAAAAAAAGCTCTTATTCCTTCTTCTTCTTCATGGACAGGAAAAAAAAAACAATCCAGGCAGGAATAAACCGCGTGAAGCAACCACGTAATGGCGAAGAAACGAGCCGTGGCGCCACGCTGCGGCTGTCTCCGCGCTGCGCCATTAGCCGCCCGACGCGGTGACGTCACGCACAAGACCACACGCGAGAGGCTCCGAGCGGCGACGCTTCGAACTTGTGGAGTCACTGAATAAGAGAGAGTAGGGGTCCCACGACCAGCGCGCATATACGACAGTGTCACTGCACTCTATACGTGAATGCTGTTACGCTGACGGTTAGACAATCAGTATGCGTACTGCCTTGCCCGTCAAAGCCTTCACAATACGTCAGCTGCTTCGCGCTTAGAGCCGCCCCACCCACTGGTTCCTCGACATGGCTGCCTCGCACCGTTGGGCCGATCGGCTGTCAACACGGCGTTACAGGACAATAATCGAGCGTGATGGTGAAACTGCACGAAGTGCCGTGATTTCTCGGTGCGCAGTCCTGGTATTACGGGACGGCCGATTCACGAAGTCACTCCCTTCTTGAGAAACGACGCTTCACTCACACCCCAGTGAACCGCTTAGTGATTGCGGGCTACGCATCCCGAATGTTAGGATGCAATGGAGACATTTGTCAAATCTCATTGGACCACCAGCGTTTCACTTAGCGAAGTTTGACATTCTTGTCACGTCGCTTTACAAGGTGGCCATCGCGACCAGCTGCTCTTAACATTCACGATCCTGAGTACGTAACTATGTCTGTGCGTTCACGGCAAGGACCACGCGGTGTAAGTTCACAATACGAAGGACCATCAACATGGCGTTACAGAAAGATGATCTAACATGATGGCCAGACTGCGCAGTGTACCATGACATTCGTGGCAGATAGCACGCGATGCAAGTTGTTGCCTCTTTAAGACATACACCCCACGTTTCGACACAGGTGCGAAATACATACGCAGCGTGGCAACGTTGCACCGGATAGACACGAACTGGCGTTATATAAGCGCGATCCACGGTGATGCGAACGCACCAGCAACAAAAAGAAGAAACATGGCTTTCACGAAAAATCTCTCGAAACGTTCACAAAAAAATCTCTCAGGGGCAAGCCGCAAACGGAAGAGCTCCAAGTGTGGTGAAATGTCTGCGGGAAGTTTCACGCTGACTGCGACGACACGGAAATACCAAAAAAGCCATCAAAGATGAGGACGTTGTCACAAAGTCCCAGCCATCTGGAAGGATCGTGACAATCTTTTTTGTTGTTTTTTGGCAAACGTACGGGCTGCAGTCGGGCTGCAGGCAACAGCAGAGGCTGCTACTCTGCGTTACTCAGTGACTCCATGGCCGCCTGTCGTCCGCAAGGACACGCGCAGACAGTTTTCATCGAGGTGCGATGATCCGCGTCATCGCTACGCGGCCGCTTCCTTCTCGGCCATTTCGAAGCCTTCGACGAGCGTCTCGAGGATGAATCGGATGGTGATCTTGTAGATGTTCTCGATGTTCTCCGTGTACCGATCGCCCAGGGTCTCGGACACGGCCGCCAAGAATGGGTTCTCGATGTGCTGCGAGGAGACAGAAATAAAAAAATCATCGTTAAGGCGACTACCTTAGATGCCTCAACAAGCACGAAAAGTGACCGTTGCATTCCCGGGTTTTGGAGAAGTCTGTACACGTGGTGCCGTCACCTGGCGGCAGCAACGTAATCCTACCATATATAATATGCGACGAAAAAAAAAGCTAGTTATCAAAACGACTTAAATTTCCGACAAAAGGAGCTGGCTGAACGCTTTTGGCTATGTCGCCTAATTGAATGTTACTGGCGTCAAAGAACCACCAGGTGGTCGAAATTTCCGCAGCCCTCCACTACGGCGTCTTTCATAATCATAAGGGGGTTTTGGGACGTTGAACCTCACATATCAATCTATCAATTGAATGTTACTGGCGAGTAATGAAGTCATCGAAAAGTGAGCACTGAAACAGTATACAAAAACGGGAACAAGGAGTGTCCAGGCCAGCTCACCCAGAAATATTCCTTCTTGAAGCCCTTGATCTTGAAGTGTAGCCTGCCCGTGTTGTGCAGGTAGTCCATGAAGTAGTCGAGGTTGTCTAGCGCGTTGATGCCTTCGTCGAGCGTGGTCATGACCACGGAGGCGTGTTGCGCCAGCTCCATACTCTCGCGCTGCGACTCCTTGGTGCGGAGCGCCTGGAACTTCTCGAACAAGTCCAGTAGGTCCCCCTTCTCCTGGAACAGTCTGCGCACGCGCGATAACGCGGACACGTCAGGCGTTCCGTCTCCGACGAAGTCCAGTGCAGCATTGCGAGAACCGCTCGTGCACCTACGTCTTTTGGGAGGCAGCGGGCACAATTTGGACTTTCAAAAGCTAAAGAACCAAATGAGCCTGACACACTGAAACGGAGACGTTGTGACTTTTTTGACCGTGGCCATTCTGTCATGCAGCTTCAAGAAACCTCAACTAACATTCATCATCATCATCGTCATCATCATCATCATCATAATCATCATCATCATCATCATCATCATCATCATCATCATCATCAGCAGCAGCAGCAGCCTGACTACGTCCACTGCAGGCCAAAGGCCTCTCCCATGTTCCACCAGTCAACTCGGTCCTGTGCTTGCTGCTGCCAATTTATACCCGCAGAATTCTTAATCTCATCTGCCCGCCTAACCTTCCGTCTTCCCCTAACCCGCTTGCCTTCTCTGGGAATCCAGTCAGTTGCCCTTAATGACCAGCGGTTATCTTGTTTACGAGCTACGTGCCCGGCCAATGCCCATTTCCTCTTCTTGATTTCAACTATGATATCCTTAACCCTCCGTTTGTTCCCTAATCCACTCTGCTCTCTTCTTCAACTCAACTAACAAGCTCACGTAAAATTTACGCACATTTTTGACTTAACATAGACCTGAAAGTTTCAGTCTGTCCATAAGCTTATTATTTGTTACGCACTGAATTTCCAGGGAACCGTATACCTAAATAACCACAAGTCATGTCGCGACACATATAATGTGGCGTTTCATCATACTAGGATGTGTATGACCAAAAATCCGTGTCTGGTCAGTGTCCTCGCCAAAGGAAATCCAATGAATTTCTGTTGGAACTAGTTGGTGCATAACACTTCATGTGAAAAGTTTAGTGCGAACAAAGACACCACCTGCCGCAACACGACAAGAACAATCCCCACAGTAATTTGCGAACGGTGAGAAGTTTACAGACAAGCTATCTTTCTGGAATGCTACTGTGGTCATGATGATGAGAATTATGGATATAGCCCTTTAGAGTATGCGTAAAGTGCGCAAACTAAAGGGAAAAAATTGAAGAAGAAGAAACTAGCAAGTTTGGCCAGACGCCGTCACACGAAATTACTTATACCGTAGCCTGAAAAACATCAGCAGCAAAAGGCGAACATATTCTCAATATCGTGACTTCTAGTGGACCCTGGTATTAATAAGTGCTCGTGATAATCAGCTATGTGTTGCTATATACAAAATGTAGTTTGTAAAATACTGTGGGAGAAACTTGGGTATAAACATGCATGTGCGTGTGAATGTTCTATTGCAATGAGATCGCCTGCAAGCGAACTACACACTACCATGTTACTTTTTTCGTGTTTCAGTTTGCTGTAATTTCTTAATTGTTCATTTTACTTTTATTGCGATAGCAATTATATGAACACTTTCGGCTGGATTTCGCCAGCGGAATCTAACATGGGAGCTCCGCGTCGTGAATGCTAGGCGTTAACCACTGAGCCACCGAGAGGTATGGCAAGCTATTCATATCTACCACTTACCGCTGTTGGCGGGCATCTCGGGGGGGGGGGGACTATTGTGTTTTCAGCTTTATCAGCAAGATGGCGCAGTGAGCGCGCGGCGGCTCTCATCTCTCACGCGTACTTTTGGCCCGCGTAGAGGAGGAGGAGAAAAAAACCTTTATTGATGCTGGCTGTGCCAGATAGCCCTTATCCCCACCGGGCTGGTTGACATCCCTAGTCCGGGACGTCATTAGTCGAGGCCACCACCCGAGCCCGCTGGACTAGAGTTCGCTGTTCCTCTAGTGTGGAGCTATTGAGTAGGGTTGTCTCCCAGTCCTCTTTGGTGGGGTTGGGAAAGGGGGTTAATTTTGGGTTCATTTGGCAGGCCCAGACCATATGGTAAGTGTTGGCCACTTCCCCACAGTACTGGCACTGCCCACTTGTTTTTGGGTAGTAATATTTTAGTATGGCTGGACAGAGCAGCGTATTAGTCTGTAGGCGCCGCAGGATGCGCTCCTCCGTTTTCGAGAGTCCCTTCGCTGGTGCGGGATACAAGCGGCGTTGCTCAATGTAGTATTCTTTGATTTCTCGAAACCGTGTTAAAGGTGTGGGACGTTCAGGTCTATCAGGGGAACGGGGAGTTTCCCGGGAAGTAAGCACGCGGGCCGCTGCAGGTGCAGCCTCGTTACCCTGTAGACCCTGATGTCCCGGAGTCCATATAAGACGTTTTGGGGTAGGATCGCGGTTCCTGATGCTGAATTTTAAAAGTCTATGAGCCAATGGAGAGATTTCTCCTGCAAGATAGCTCTCGCAGGCTCTTCGAGAGTCTGTAACTGTTTGTTCTGAGTTTGGACGGGATGCTGCCAGTGCAATGGCCACCTCCTCCGCTTTACTTGAGCTTGTGGCTTTGAAAGTGAGGCCGTCCACCTGCGTTCCTTGATGTATTACCGCCGCCGTGTAGTATCCCCTAGGTGACGGCCCGGCCACATCGACGTAATAGACCCCATTACGGGAGCCAAGCCGTTGTTCAAGTGCCTCAGCGCGCGTTTGCCTTCTACCCTGGTGCGCCTCCCTGGTCATATTGCGGGGAAGCGGGGACACCCAGAGTTTTGTTCTCCAAAGTTCAGTAATACGCTACGCGTTTTCGATTTCGCATTCGTGCCGGATAAAGAGGCGGTCCAGTAGGCGCCGCCCGGGGGGGCGTCTGCGTGAGACGCGTATATTGATTTGTGAGGTGGGCTTCTTGGAGCTCTTGTATAGATTTAAAGATTCCCAATGCAGAGAGTTTCTGATTTGAAGTGCTGATGGGTAAATCAAGTGCGCGCTTAACTACTTTCCTAAGAATAGCATCGACTCTGTTCTCTTCGTGTTTAGTCATTCGTAAGTACGGTATTGAATATAGAATCCTGCTAATTACAAAAGCATTGGCGAGCCGAATCGCGTCCCTTCCTCGTAGCCCCCCGCGCTTGTTTGACACTCGGCGGATCATGTGCCCTACCTGTTCTCCAATTTTCCGTAGCTTGTCTAGCGTGGTGCTGTTTTTTGTTCTGTTGTGAATCAGAAGGCCAAGGATTCGTAGTTCTGAAACCTCTCGTATTGTTGATCCTGATACCACCAAGTTCAGGGTCGTCCTATCTTTAATGTTTTCTCTGATATGCAGGAATTCAGATTTGGAGTGAGCGCACTGCAACCCACACTGGGCCACATAGTCCTCCACAATGGAGGCGGCCTGCTGCAGGCGGTCTTCAATTTCTCCTAAACTGCCCCTATTCGTCCAGATTGTTATGTCATCGGCGTATATTGCATGATATATTCCTTCCACTACTGCCAATGCTTGCGGGAGCTTCATCATGGCAATGTTGAATAGCAGCGGAGACAGGACAGCTCCTTGCGGGGTTCCCCGCGTCCCCATTTTGAATGGCGAAACGCAGAGGTGTGTGCATACTTAGCTTTAAGTGCACGTTAAGAACTCCAGGTGCACGTTCGGGCTTCCATGCCTTCCGGAATTTTCCGATGCACTGCGCTGAGCCGGTGAAATGGTTTTCACCGCATATAAGGCACTCGAGCTGACAGTCGTGCTTCACTGGGCCCTCCAGAGTGAGTTCCACCTTCGCACCACAGTGAATGCACCGCTGATTGTCCGGATTGGGGCACGCATCCGGTCTGTGGCCCACCGTTCCACACCGGTAACATGCCGGAACCGTTTTCTTGTAGTAGCGCACTGGCACGTTTTCACAGCAGTAGTGAATGAATCTTGGAACGCGGCGTCCTTTGAAGGTCACCACTGCAACAATGGATGTTCCGAGTTTCCGCACATACAAAATTTCGCCGTCGATCCACTCGAGCTTGCGTCGAAGGGATTCCGAAGTTTCATTGTCTGTGACGATGACGACACCCTTGCAGGTTTCTCCGGCTGATTTCAAATGTCCTTGAAATGGTACCTGGCGGTCCCCGATCGTCATCGTGATGTCCCCGATGAGCTTCGAGGCCAGGCTTTCCGTTTTCACACCTACAACAACGATGTTTTGGTCCCACACCGGCCACACGGAGATACCAGCGTTCGTGGTGCTGCTGATGAAGCGTTGCACTGCTGTGCCAGCCCCGCCTGGGCCGAACGCAGCGTGCGGATCCATGGTTATTTTTGGTTTAAGCACAATAACCAACTCGTCCTACCGGATTCGAGGCGTGTGTGTTGGCTTCCACGTCGCCAGTTTCCGCGGGGACTCAACGCAAGCTGCGGGTGCTGATCCTGTTTTGCGAGCCTGTGGCTGGGCGGCGGCCGTCGAGCCTCGGGGCTTCATTTCAGCGAGCTTCTCTTGCAGTTGGCGAACCATGATCTGAAGATATTCGTCTTCACCTGGTATGGGGTCCTCCCGTGTTTCTGCCAACCACTGCATCAATGTCAACCCACTGCATCGTGCTGGGGTCGTAGCCTGTCTTCGTGGACGCTGCCATGGCTGAAGAGCCCGGGCGTAAGCCTCGTCGGCGTTAGGCTTAGCCGGGCTCGGGCGTCGCGTGGTGTTTAACCAGTCGTAGATTGGCGGAAAATGGGCCTACCTGGATAAAATAGGTACCCAGAGGTTCCTGATGGCTTCGCCGAAACACTGAAATCTGTTTCTGGTGGATATTTGCCAAAAGTTCACAACATTCGTCGATTTCTGACGGAGCCGACGTGACATGCGTCTCACGCGCGCGCTGAAACGCCGCGTCCCCCCCGCGTAGAGAATACGGGGGTGTACACTCGATCCCGCGCCCTTATCCTGCAGTGGAGATAATCGCACGTCCTGGCTAGCCTTTGAGTTTCGTTGAAACAATTCTGTTGTAGTTACCAGGCGCACAAAGGTCAGTGCAATCGTTGCACATCCTCCGTTCGCGAAAAGGGCGCGCTTTCCGGATACAGCGAAGTAACGACTGCGACACTTATTCGCGTTCATCTGTACCTGTGAGTAAACGTTTTCTGCGTACTTTGTTCGTGAAAAACGCGGGGCACGTTTCGATCTGTTTGACATTCTGCGGGTGACCTTCCAATTTGTTGCTATCGCGTTCGTTGTTTAGCCTTTGTGACTAAGCTGTGATTTTTTTTTTCAGTTACCACTTTTCTTTTCGGTGCAGAGCTGATATAAATGGAGTGGCAAAGTTGACATGAACCTCAAAATCTCTGCATAAAGCCAGCTAGAACATAAGAAAAAGAACGTGATTCAAGTTTCAAATCCGCAACCGAAGCGCGCCATTCTTTAACCAATACGCGCCTGGCCACACGTACGCACGCACGCGTTGCAGCGTGTTAGCGCGTGGCGTGTAGGCTCGGCACCACACCCTCTCCCTACATGGAGAGCGCGGTCTATGGAGAGAGAGAGAGAGGGCGCGCCGCTCCGTGTAGCCTCTCAACCTCTCCCTTCATAGGGAGAGGTCACGGCACCGAATCTACACGCAACGCGCTGCACCGCGTACGTGTGGTCAGAACTTACTTCCCCGTGCGATCAGCCATCGGACCACATGCACGGTAAACCTGTCAATCAACTGCACTTCTAGCGTCAAGGATAGCATATCAAATTGTGTTGACAATGATCCTCGCGACAACCTCACTAGTTGATAGTAACCCCAACCATTGTGTGACCCCCTAGGGAGACCTTTAGGAAATAAAAAAAGAAGTAATGAGATGAAACTAGGCTGACCTGACGAACATCTCGATGCCGGTGGGCTCCATGGCCCTGGCGATGGCCTTCCAGGATTTTGTGATGCTGAAGATCTGCCGGGCGGTGAGCGGGTGGCGCGGGTCAGGCGGCGGCGGTGGCGGCGGGTCGCCCACGGGCTCGGCAGCGCCATTGTTGCCCTTGTTGTTGCGACTGCCGCCCGAGCCGCCGCGCACCAGCGACGAGAGGCTCTTGCTAAGTGTGCAGCCCATGGGACCGGGAGAGGAGGACGGCGACGGGACGAAAACGGCTAACCTCCTGCATTGGGACGCGTACAGGTTTGTAATCGGTCACCTACGCCAGGTACGTCCCCACAGTAACTGCTTATAAACAACCCAAATTGTGCACATCAAAAAAGGAATTAAAAAATGGGGGGTGGGGAGAGAAGGCAGGAAAGTGAACCAAGAAGGGTAGCGACGCTACGCTGGGGAAATGGGGAATGGGAGTAGAAGGATGAGAGAGGGAAGAGGCAAAGGAGAGAAGAAAACGAGCAATGAGCGCGCTGACGAGCACACGTTTCGGTTGATCTAGACAGCAGCCAATGGCCTTCATTAAAGGCCCGCAGACCTCGAAAAGCACAACAGTGACATAGGTCCAAGAAAGTACAGCGGTGTCTTATGTTACTCTCATGAGGGCCAAAGCTTGCAACACACTTGGTAATGGAATAAGTTATAAAATAAGGGACTAGACTTCTTGCGAGACATGAAGAGCTGATATAATGAGATGCATTAAATTACATCAGTGGTGTCCTCAGCCAATTTCATCTTTCCACCAACCACCCCCGACTCTCACGACCTTTCCCCACACGTGCTGTTACAGTACATATGGGGTCGGCTCAACTTTTACTAAAGGACATTATTACATGATGATGGAATCATGTGACCTTGTGTGAGGACGTCATGATGACGCGCCAACAAGATGTTCCCTCTCCCTTCACCTCTGTCTCGGAGAAGGTCACGTGGTTTTTAGAATCTTTCTTGAGGCTGCCCGTGCAACACTGTCGAGAGCATCCTTCATCCGCGTGGTCTCAGAGCAAGCTCGCCCTTCAGCGCCTTGCCTTCGTGGACCTGACGAGTCTCCACGACGGACACGGACGTGTTGCGTCGCATCCGCGGAAATGACCGACTTTGGCTTCCTGCGGCCGCCTGCACCTCCCTTTTCGGGAACTTCTCTCTGACCTTCCCATTTTCCCTATCTCTCATTATTCCCCTTTCCCTTCCGCACAGAGCAGTTGAGGTGTCTACCTGGAGTGGCATGCCAGGTGATTATCTATCTATCTATCTATCTATCTATCTATCTATCTATCTATCTATCTATCTATCTATCTATCTATCTATCTATCTATCTATCTATCTATCTATCTATCTATCTATCTATCTATCTATCTATCTATCTATCTATCTATCTATCTATCTATCTATCTATCTATCTATCTTCCGGACGAGAGATAGTTACTACACCTTGTGAATGTATCTTCCCTACTCTTTCCCTATCTCAAGCCTTCCATTCTCTCTGTACCACTCCAACTCGCCAGCCATGTTCCGATCAAGGTCCTTGCGCAACGAGACACACACGGCGCCCGTCTTGATAATGTGATGCGTAAGTTATCAGTTTCTAGGCGAAAATGACTCAGAGGCGACACCACCCTGTGTGCACGTACGCTTAGCTTCTTTGTTTCAATGTGCTATACACGTTTGGACAGAAATAGCAACGGCTATTAAGTCGAATAAGCGTCATAGAGTAAGTTCTAGGTCTATAGATAATTATAATAATGACATATGAGGTTTAACGTGCCAAAAACTACTACACAAATATGGGACACGCCGTTCTAGAGGGCTCAGGAAGTTTTGACCATCAGGTTTTTCGTAACGTGCACTAATTATGGATGACATACACGTGCCTCTAGGATTTAGCTTCCACTGAAATGCGACAGCCGCGGCTGGGATCGAACCCGCCACCTTGGGGTCAGCAGCCGAATAACTTAACCGCTACACCACTGCTGCATGAGGGCCGTTCCACGCGCTTCCCGCACAGCCGCAACGCACGTGCCGGGACCTCTACCGCACGCAAGCGCGGTACAAATAAGCCAATTGGTGACGCTCTTTCACCCTTTACAGCGTCGCCAATTGGCTCATTTGTCCCCCGTTTGCGTGCGGTATAGGGGTCCCGGCACGTGCGTTGCGGCTGTGCGGGAAGCGCGTGGAACTACCCTAAGCAGCGTAGCCGTGTACCACTGCGGGCATTTTTGTATCCAAAGGCTGGTGCACACCGGCGACTAGCAGCGGTCGCGCGACCATTTGCGACTGGTCGCAACCAGTCGCGAACGGTCGCAAACGGTCGCAAAGCGACTGCGTTGGCCAGTCGCTTCTTGACCGATTTTTCAGTCGCGCGACTGCAGTCGCAAAGCTGCTTAACCAATCAGCGATGCTCAATTTTTTTTTCATTGCGCTGGCTTCCTGCCGCCAGATACAAACGAGTGCGTTCCTCTAGGTCTGTGGCACCATGGCCACCACGGAATACTTGGCTTGGAGATGGCGGGACACAGCAACTCGAGCAAATTGTCGAATTTACGTGGTGGCATTCGCAAGAAGCTAAACACCGTCAAAGTAAAGAGAAAATAAATTGTGCACTGTCTTTTCCCCGTATTCGGAAACTTTTTTTTGTCTTGAACTTGACTTGTCAGCGCATTCAACGCAGCGTGTTTGGAAGGCGTTTGTACTTCATGCCTTGGCAACGACTTAAGACTCCACGTTCGAGACGCATTTGTGCTGCATTGTAGGCTGTGGCAAGTCAAGGGAAATTTAAGGATGGTTTCTGAATACGTACGACTCTCGGAAATACTCCTCGTCGTGTCAGCGCAGCTCTGAAGGCAGGCGGCTTGCATGGCCGGTCAATTCCCGCGATCGAAAGGATGGTCACATCCACTACCGGCTTTTTTTTTTTCTTTGGAGGCATCTGTGATGCCAGCGCTGACACCATGGCACAGTGCATCAGCACCATGAAATTGTCTTGTTCTTCGCTTGAATCGAACTTGACGCTGTTGGGAACGCTGTGCGAGAACGGACTCAGCTGGCGGCGATCAGCTGATCGCGCCGGTCTCAGGAGTTCTCGCTCATAACGAGATCCGGACGTGACTCTCCGGTTTTGCGACTTCCGGTCGCTCGCATGCAGCCTCTGTCGGTGTGAACATCAGTCGCTTTTTGGTCGCCAGTCGCGAATGGTCGCGCGACCGCTGCTAGTCGCTGGTGTGCACCAGCCTTAACGATGGAAAGGTAGAGCGTGCATTGCGGTTGTGCGGGAAGTGCGTGGAACGACCCGAAGCAGTGTAGCCGTGTACTACTGCGCGCATTTTCGTATCGAACAATGGAAAAGGTAGAGCGTGCTCACCTTTTGCGAGGTTGAACCGTCGGGTTTTTTTTATCGATCCCCCGGTGTTAACACTCGGCTGAGCAGGAAGGCCTGAAGTGTGAGCGGTGCGGGATGGAGCTTTCGACGTTGGCCACCACTGTTTGGGACAGCCGTTCGCGTTGTTCCTTCCTTCCTTTTTTTATTAAGCCTAACTTTGCTCTGTCAGTGTTGTCAGCCGGGGTGCGTTCTTTCAGCGGAATCCTGCGTGTCAAAAGAAAAAAAGAGAAAGAAAGAGAGATTCGGTCAAAACATGGAAGAAGCAAGTAAATAGTAGGGAAAAAAGAACATGGTTGTAACACTCCACCATATGAATCGGTGTAACACGGAAGTGAAGTGCGTCCTCACGAAAGTTGTTGAATATTTGCTGTGCATTGATACAAGAGAGCTTCCGCAATTTCTGTTGCTGCTCGGCAGCTATAGCACCGTCTACCAAAGATGCACCCACGTTGACGCTTGTCGTCACATCTCCATCTCGACGACTATTGAACAGAGCTCTGTGACGGTTGCAGTATAGCTAAAGGTGTGAACATAATCAGAGAAAGTGCATAGCGTGACAGTCACAAGAACGTCGCTGATGGACGCAGAACTTGGGCCCGAGGGGGGGGGGGGTGATGCCATCGGGTGGTTCCGTACTAGTCCCACCAAAATTTTCGTGTATATATATACACGCAGAGACAAGCGCGCACAAGAACACACATGAAGTATGGTTGAAAATCTGCACGCATACGCACGCACGCACGCACTTACGCACGTGATGCAAACACGTGACTCGTGCAAGAAAATGACTCACCATGTCACACGTGGCCAGTGTTAAGCCTACCCCGTCACCGTCATGCAGCGCATTCGAATGGATACGCCTCGTGCAGCAGCGATGGAAGGATAGCACATCGACTGCGTTTTTGTGATCGCTTTGGGACCGAATGCAACGTTTTTCGCACTTGCGTTGAACAAACAGGAGAGCAGAACTTTTACGGAAAAAGGATATCCTGGAATCGTGGCTCTGTGGCGTCGCAGGCAAGCAAGAAGACGCAAGCAAAGTGAAACGGCCACTGACACTGTTTTTTTGGAGGGGCGAAGCTCCTTTGGACTTAGCCTTGTCGTCGTCGACGTCCGTCGAACGCAGGTTTGTGCATGTGAGACACAAAAAATGTTTAACAATAGACTAATATCAATCATAATTGTGACAGAAATGTGACAGAGCAATATAAAACACTAAAGGAACCATGAAACGGTTTTGACAATTTTTTACAAACACATTGGGCCGGTATAGACCTAGTCCCAAGGGTAATTTGGAGATTGATTTGAACTCTCTGCGTATGCTGTGTAATTTATTACAACGTTTTAAAGCTGCGAATCGCTCCAGATCACTGCGACTCGGCCAAACGCGTTTTCAACCGCCCATACACCGAGCGACACGCTCCGCCCTACTGACGTCATCGTTTCCAGCTGATCTGATTGGCTGTGGAACGCGCAGCACAGACCGCCGGTATCAGATCGGCGGTGGGATTTACGCGTACGCGGTCTCACGCCACACCATGATGCAGGCGCCGTGAAGGCGGAGCTTAGCCCCGAGCGCTCGAAGGAAAGTTGGGGGCAGTTGAGGGTGAAAGGCAGAGCGGAGGAAGGAGGAGGGTACTTTTTTGGAACTCGTAGCTCCGTTAATAATGGGTATTTCGATTGAACTCCGGTGCCAATGATTTGCTCCAGTAGTGGTCTAATCAAAAACGAAATGGAAAAAAAAGCCATTTCAAGGACCCTTAAGAAGCACAAATCCTTTATTACTAGTCGGCAACTTTAACATACATACAACAGTCCATGACATCACGCGCGGAGATTTTCGCAAGAATTTCAAAGAGTAAACAAAACGTCTACCTTGATTTTACTCCTGTACTAACGAACCTATGATGGTAAAGCTAACGGCGTCGTAATATTTAGAGCCCAATTTATCCACCTGATTCAATTCCATTCTTTCCTTTAGTGTTCCTTCAAACGATTCGAAAGTAACACGTTAGTACCAATGAAATCAGGCGCTACTTCTGGGGCTACAGCGTGCGTTCAAACTCTACCATTTGTGAAGATCTTGTGATCTGACGAGACAGATGCATGGGCTCGTTGGTGACTGGGAATCAACATATTTGCACAGCGCAAGACTACGAGTAGTATACGACGTAACTACAGAAGAAGAGACAAGGACAGAAAGAGCGCTCTTTCTGACCGTGTCTCTTCTTCTGTAATTACGTCGTAACTACTCGTAGTCTTGCGCTGTGCAAATATGTTGATCTGATAAGGTCTCAATATAACATTCGGGAAGCAGATGCATAGGCAGAATTTTTTTTGGCGGGGGGGGCACCCACTTGAAAAGGTCATTTCTCACTTTGTCATCATCATCATCATCATCATCATCATCATCATCATCATCATCATCATCATCATCATCAGCCTGACTACGTCCACTGCCGGACAAAGGCCTCTCCCATGTTCCGCCAGTTAACCCGGTCCTGTGCCTGCTGCTGCCAATTCATACCCGCAAACTTCTTAATCTCATCTGCCCACCTAACCTTCTGGCTTGCCTTCTCTGGGAATCCAGTCAGTTACCCTTAACGACCAGCGGTTATCCTGTGTACGCGCTACATGCCCGGCCCATGTCCATTTCTTCTTCTTGATTTCAGCTATGATATCCTTAACCCCCGCTTGTCCCCTAATCCACTCTGCTCTCTTCTTGTCTCTTAAGGTTACGCCTACCATTTTCCTTTCCATTGCTCGCTGCGTCGTCCTCAATTTAAGCTGAACCTTCTTTGTAAGTCACCTGGTTCCTGCTCCGTAGCTAAGTACCGGCAAGATACAGCTGTTATATACCTTCCTCTTGAGGGATAGTGGCAATCTACCTGTCATTATTTGAGTGTGCTTGCCAAATGTCTATCTATCTATTACCTATCTCACTATTACCTATCTCGAAGCGCTGCTCTTTTTCGAGGTTGTTGTACATTACTTTCGTTTTCTGCAGATTCATTTCAAGACTCATCTTTCTCACTTTGTATGTCACGAGAAAAGAATTCGGGGGGGGTGGGGGGATGGGCTTGGTGTGCCACCCCCTGGTTACGCCACTGTCGAAAAGGTTGTGACGCACGAAGAAGGCGCGGCTTGCGCCGAGCGTTTGTAAGACGTGGGATGGCAATACACGGTGAAACCCAGGACAGCACGAGATGGCCCGAGCAAGTGTCGATATTTTGTTACGTAGGTGTTGGTGCCAGTGTCGACTAGAGGACGATATAGCCATAGAACAGGTTGAAGTGTCTCGGGATCAGAACCGACTTAGTCGCACTTACCCGAGGGCGTATGCAACTTCAACTGCAACTGTACCCGCATCACTTTGGTGGAGGTGCTGGGTCCTGTGTTCAGCTAGGACTCACACGGCAGAAAAAGTTCTACACCCAAAAAAAGCACAAAAGAGGAAACGAAGGCCCACTCAGGCATGCGCGGTTGAAGCGCGCATTTTGCTTTATCTGACAACGCCTGTGCCGTTCAATGTCAGCAAAAGAAATTTGATTGATATATTGATTTGTGGGGTTTAACGTCCCAAACCACCGTATGATTATGAGAGACGCCGTAGTGAAGGGCTCCGGAAATTTCGACCACCCGGGTTTTTTTAACGTGCACTCAAATCTGAGCACACGGGCCTACAACATTTCCGCCTCCATCGGAAATGCAGCCGGGATTCGATCCCGCGCCCTGCAGGTCAGCAGCCGAGTACCTTATCCACTAGACCACCGCGGCGGGGCCTGCCTGCTCTCAATCTCGTTGAAGAACGCCCGATAGCTTTACGTCTGTCATTTATGAGCGTTAGGAATTTGACTCGCGGCAGCGGCCGGTATGGCATAAAGGTGCTGGTGCTTAACGTCCCGATCAACGTGGCCAACACTGCGCTGCACCGGCCACGGAAAGTGCTCGACAACGCCGCCTTCGACGTACACACCATGTGCCGGCTCGTTAACAAGCCTTCCTGCATAAATCGTCTCGCAAAGAAACGCGCCGCGCATGCCTCCAAGCAAGCTCCTCTGACATAATTCACTATGCGGATATGGCGATGTTTTTTTAAATTTTTTTCAGCGCAAAAATACCAAAATTTCACCTGAAGCAAAGTGGATTCCACTTACCTGACCCGCAGCTCTTGGCGAACAATCACTGCCGTCTGTCAATAAATGTTTATCACCACCACCACCACTAGAGGCGACGAAAACTCTGGGCTGTATAGACCATATTCCTCAAGGCTGGGTTTTTGTGTCCTCAAACCACGATATGATTGAGACGCCGTAGTTGAAGGTACAGTTGAGGGCTCCGCAGAAACTTCGACCATCTGGTGTTCTTCAAAAACATGCACTGTCATTGCACAGTACATGGGACTCTGGCGTCTCACATCGCGGCGGGGATCGAAACCGCGTCCTTCGGTCCAGTGATTCCTCTATATTTACCGCACGCGTTTGAGCAAGCACGATCTGTCTTAACAACAGTCTTATCTTATTATGTGATAAGAAGCGCAGTGCTGACGCGTGTCATCAATCGTCATTGACGGTTTGGTGCTACGTCATAGGCCAGCAGCCTATACATCTTACTTCGCCGTCTGAAAATAAAACTGTTCTGCGTCTGTTCCCGGCCCAGCTCTGTCATCTACTGCAACAGTGACGACGAAGATAGGCGCTGCGATTTTGAGGCGCTGATTGTGACTACACCACCACAGAACGCCAGCGGTACTCGGTGCACCCCAAGTCGTGACGAAAATCAAGATAAGTGGGGAACTTGATTGATTTGTGGGGTTTAACGTCCCAAAACCACGATATGATTATGAGAGACGCCGTAGTGGAGGGCTCCGGAAATTTTGACCACCTGGGGTTCTTTAACGTGCACCCAAATCTGAGCACACGGGCCTCGACATTTCCGCCTCCATCGGAAATGCAGCCGCCGCAGCCGGGATATGAACCGGCGACCTGCGGGTCAGCAGCCGAGTACCTTAGCCACTAGACCACCGCGGCGGGATAAGTGGGGAACTTACGTGACTCCACTGGAGGCATTCTTCGAAGCAATTGATACTAACTACAAGATAAGTAATGGAAACTTTTGATATTTACGCTATATAAGCGAACGTGGGACACTTCGCTCCCCGTAAGTAAAGTTAATAATCTGAATTACCAGGAAGCACTCGCCTT